AGACATACGAGAAAATGACCAGCTCATGGGTGGCATTACAATGGTCATTGCTGGAGACTTTCGCCAGACCCTACCTGTCATTCCTCGAAGCACTCCAGCTGATGAACTGAATGCGTGCCTCAAGGCATCATACCTTTGGAGAAGTGTTCAGACACTCACCCTATACACAAACATGAGAGTACATCTACAAGAAGATGAGGATGCTGGACGGTTTGCAAACCTTCTACTCCAGATTGGGAATGGAACTTTCCCTGTTGATTCAGAAGGACAAATAATCATTCCTCAAGGATGTGGAAATGTTGCAAAGTCCTCAACTGAGCTCACTAACATTATCCACCACTACAAGGATCACAAGTGGCTGCGTGAACGCGCATTTCTGGCACCAAAGAATGAAACAGTGGCTGAAATCAACATGATTCTACTCAGACAGCTTCCAGGCAGTGAGACCTCATTCAAATCTGTTAATACAGTAATCGACCAGGACCAAGCAGTCCAGTACCCTGCAGAATTCCTTAATTCTTTGGAGCCCGCTGGAATGCCTGCTCACCACCTCACTCTCAAGATTGGAATTCCTATAATGTTCTTAAGAAATTTTGAATCACCAATCCTCTGCAATGGAACAAGACTGGTGGTGAAGAACATGATGCCAAATGTACTGGAAGCTACAATACTGACAGGAAAAGCTAAAGGAGAGGACGTTTTTATACCAAGGATACCTCTCATCACCAGTGACCTGCCATTTGAGTTCAAGCGACTTCAGTTCCCGGTTAAAGTGAGCTTTGCCATGACCATCTACAAAAGCCAGGGACAGTCCCTCAAGATGGTTGGCCTAAACCTGGTGTTTCCTTGCTTCTCTCATGGACAGCTCTATGATGGATGCTCCAGAGTGGGAACTGGCAAAAATCTGTACATACTTGCTGCTAATGGCAAAACCAAAAATGTGGTCTACCTTAATGCACTACAGTGAGACAGTGTGGAGCCTCCCGGAAGGTGGCGTCCTACCGTGGCCTAGCGAAAGAGCCGCCCAGAGGGCGGCGATTCCGCTAGTATGTATATATATATATATATATATATATATATATATATATATATATATATATATATATATATATATATATATATATATATATATATATATATATATATATATATATATATATATACCACTCATCTGTTTTGTCATAGGTGCATCTATAGAATAATTTAATTTTTCTTGAAGATTGCATGAATAAGCTTTCTTTTTAAGGTAATTATACTTTGAAAATAGTATTTGATAATACAGACAACCAGGGTACTTAAGCACACCTACGGTAGTTTCACCTTCACAACTTAACCGACGCCCCACATCTACAGGTAAAGCCGACTTAAGTTAGGTCACGTTTGGCATGGATTCTCCCAGTTAAATTAATAATAAAAAACTTAAAGATTAACCTTTTTGTAGCTTATGAAAAGTTGGTGTGGACATTTAAACACAGATACATGCACACCACACATACACTCACACAATACATGCATACACACATCACATAAAGTGCCAGTCTTTAAGCACAAAGTCCTGCATATACTGTAATTACTCATTGATTTATTTTTATTTCGATACACATTTCGACCAAATTAGCACAAATTATATATTTATAGTAATACTTCATAGATATTAATCTTACAGCAGCATAAAAATAATCATTGTTGAGACCCACTTCCTATTGTTAAAGACAATCACCCAAGTCTCAGTTATCCAGGAAATCTTTAAGCATCCTTTCCTGAAATGCAGCCATCTAGGATGAGCTTATCTAATTCATAAAACTCTTACAGTTTTGGTTGGGATAGGTTAGGATTTGTTGGGTCGAGTCGCTTGATTTAAGTAGATCAAGGTACCACGAGACTAGACAGTTAAGTTATTCATCATCATTCATGGAACGAGAGTTGATCAAGTCTTTGCCTGACAGATGTATAAATCATTAGGTAGTGTGTGTGTGTGTGTGTGTGTGTGTGTGTGTGTGTGTGTCTTTATGTATGTGTTTAGTGTGTATGTGTTTGTAAAAATAATAATAATAATAATAAACGGTTTATTGAAAAAGTTTGCAGCCCGAAGGCTGAAAATATACATTGGACATAAATGACTTATTACATACATTGGTGGTTTAACAAAAGCCTTCATTAGAGAAAGGTGAAGGAACATACAGTGAACATACAGATTAATGTTTACACACGTAGATCATGTGAGCTGAGGTGATGAACAGCAGACACGTAGTGTAGTAACTCCCTCACAGATGGCGTTATGAGGGGCATCACGTGGAGTACTAGTTCCCTCACAGGTGGTGTTATGAGGGGCTTGACGTGGTGTAGTAATTTCCTCACAGATGGTGTTACGAAGGGCCTGATGATGTAGTAGTTCCCTCACAGATGGTGTATGAAGGGCCTGATGATGTAGTAATTCCCTCACAGATGGTGTTATGAGGGGCCTGATGTGGTGTAGTACTTCCCTCACAGATGGTGTTATGAGGGGCCTGATGTGGTGTAGTAATTCCCTCACAGATGGTGTTACGAGGGGCCTGATGTGGTGTAGTAATTCCCTCACAGATGGTGTTTGAGGGACCTGATGTGGTGTAGTAATTCCCTCACAGATGGTGTTATAAGGGGCATCACATGGCGTAGTAATTCCCTCACAGATGGTGTTATGAGGAACTTCACATGATGCTGTAGCAACTCATTCACTATGCGGTGTCGTGCATAATGGGGACACCACGTGGTCCGTTGTCACAGGAATTCACTCACTCAAGTGGGTGAGGTGCGGTCCCAGGCCTCTCTGTCGTGGAGTCTCAGGGGAATTATCACTGGGTACCTGGGACCTCACTGTGTGAAGGTTAGCTTGGCTCAGACTCAACTGCCGAGTTGTTTTTCACTGACTTAAGCACTGTTCACCACTATTCAACACTGGTTCCATTCCTTTCCCAAATGAAATAGTAACTTCTGGCGAGAACTTGTTTATATTCCTGTGGGGAGGAGGGTTCAGGGGAGGGAGTTGGTATGGGCCAACATAGCAGTTGACGTGGCTGCTGCTGAGCAGCACCAGGTGCGTCTGACCCGTCTTGACCCGTCGGTGGCCAAGGATGAAGTGTGTGTGTATATATGTGTTTGTGTCAGAGTTGTAAAAAGTACCGGATTTTGTTACTCAAGTAAAAGTATTGTTACATTGGCAAAATGTTACTCAAGTTGAAGTAAAAGTATCCAAAGCTTAATGTGCTCAAGGCGAAGTAAAAAAGTATCTCATTCATAAAGTACTCATGCATTGAAAGTAAAAAGTAACAACAAAATTATTATTGTCTCAAAATTTAGAATTAATCCAAAGTAAATCATAAAAACTTGTAAACTAGTAAACGTATTAGGGTGAAGGGAGGGATCCCTATCATATGTGGTGTCCTGCCTAGACGGAGAGTCGGCAATGAATGGTTGTCAAGGACAGTTGGTGTCAAAGGCCGTCTTGACAGATGTTGCAAGTCAATATCAGTCCCATTCATTGACAACTGGGACAACTTTTACGGCAGAAGGGACCTTTATGCTAGGGATGGGGTGGCAACCCTGGCTGGCTCTCTTGAGAGGGCAGTTCAAAAGATGACGAAGTCTTTAAACTGTTAGGAGAAAATATGAGCACGGGGGTGGAGGAGACTGCAGTGGGAGTGGGTAAACAAAGTGAAAGGTTACAGAGAAATAGTGCTAGGAATGGTGACAAAACTAAATTAGACAGGGAGTTAAAACCTAAACTCGTCAAAGAGGAGACTCAGAACACTACTAACTAAAATATCTACTACGCAAACAGTAGGAGTATGAGAAACAAAATGGATGAAATCAGGGCGTTGGTATGTACCGAAAAAATCGATATAATAGCATTCACCTAAACATGGATAAACTTAGACTCACGTGAGTTACCTGTCGAATACCAAATTGCAGGTTACAAATTGTTCCATATCGATAGACAGGTTAGGAAAGGAGGAAGAGTGGCAATCTATGTCAGGGATAATCTGAAGTGTGAAATAAATAAGGAAATAAAAACTGAGCAGAATACAGAAGCAATTTGGATAGAATTAATCGATGGTAGGGAAATATATAAATCTCCTAATCTTGATAGAGTTTATGACCGACTTATTTGGGATGAAATGCGCAGGCCATACAGGCAAAGCAAAGTGTTTACATTAGGCGACTTTAGCTTTAGCCAACTAGATTGGAGCGACCTTACAGGTAACTCAGAATCAATGGATTTTCTTGAAACAGTTCAGGACTGTTTCCTAAGCCAACATATAATCGAACTCACCCGGGGTAATAATATACTCGATTTAGTTCTGTCAAACAGAAAAAACCTCATTAGTAATGTCGAGGTAGGGAACGAACTTGCTAACTGCGATCACAGAGAAATAAGATTCCAATTAGAATTTCAGGGCAGCTGCAAGGAAAATTTGACTAAAGTCCCAGATTTCAGAAAGGCAAACTCTGATAGTTTGAAGAGGCAGCTGAGAGAAGGGGGATTCGCGTTTGGGGGTGAATTACATGACCTCACACAATGTACCCACAGAGGGCGACCTCACCTTACCTGGAGACCTGACGGTTGAGGATAACTTGATCACGAGATCTGAGGTTGACGAGTTCCACAACAATCTAAATAATGAGTTACTTAATTCACAAAGGCAGAACATACCATACAGAAAACTCAGATCAAATAACAATGACCCCAAATGGATAAATAATTATTTAAAGAATATTATTGGTAGGAGAATAAATCGTGGTGAAGTTTACCTCCGAGATTATTATAAAGTATTGGCCGGTTAAGACCGAGATAAGAAAAGCAAAGAGGAATAATGAACTGAAGGTAGCAAGGGAGGCGAAGTCAAACCCCAAGGGATTCTTTCAAATGTATCAAACTAAAACACGAGAAAAGATTGGAATACAGTCAGATACCGGTGAGGTAACTGATAACGACGGAGAAATGAGCTTTGTGGGTCTCACAGGGGAAATCTGAGGACCAATCAACATACATCGTGGCAGGCAAGAACGAATTAACTTACGTCGTGGTGGGCAAGGACCAATCAACTTACGTCGTGGCGGGCAAGGACCAATCAGCACACGACATGGAGGGCAAGAACCAATCAACACACGTCATGGCGGACAAGACCCAATCTACACACGTCATGGTAGGCAAGGACCAATCAGCACACGCTTTTAACCTCATAGGGTTTTGCTGTGCCAATTTGAGGGCGGAAGTGTGTTGTATTTCATGTTTTTCCTATTTATTCTATATTTTCCCTTTTTTTTTACATTCTTGTGATTTGTTCCATCTCTCGTTTATTCTGTCTTCCTCCTATACTATCTCTTTTCTTTCATTTGTCTTCTTGTTTCTCTTCCATTTCTCTTTTGTCTGCAGGTTTTGCTTTCTTCTCTCTATTCTTCACTTTCTCTCTTTTTTCCTCTATTTCTTCTTCTTGGTATCACACTTTCTTCCTTTACCTTCTTTTTTTCCCCTCTTTCTTCCCTACTTCCTTCCTCTCTCTTTTCACTCTTCCTACTTCTCACTCCCTCCCTGCCTTCCCCCCCCTCCCTACCCTTCTTCCTCACCTCCTCTCTTCACATGCCCTTACTTCACCAAATTTCCTTCTTCCTTCCATTTTCTCACTTCATACCTCCCTCCTCCTCCTCCTCCTCCCAATTCATGCTTCCTTCTTCCTTTTATCATTCTTACCTTCCCTTTCTATCTTTCACCTTCTCATCATCTCATTTTGTCTCCTTCCCTGCCCTCTCCCTTCCTCCCATCTTTATATTCCTCCCCATCCCTCTTTCTTTCCCTGCCTTCCTTCCTTACTTCCTCCCTACCTGCCTCCCAACCTATTTTCCCTCTTTCCTACCTCCCATCTTCAAACTTCTTTTCCCCTTCCCTGCCCTCTTTATTTCCTCCATTCCTACGCTCCCCTTTTCCTTCCCTGCTTTTGTCCCTCACCCCTCCCTCTTTTTCTTCCGTGGGCTCCTCACTTCTTCCTTTCTTTCCTACCTTCCTACCTCTATCCCTGCCTGCCTCCGTCCCTGCCTTCACCTTTGCCTCCCTTCCTTCCCTGTCACTGACTGATACGCGGTAAGATCTAGCAAGACTCCAGGATCGATACTCGGCAAGATGATTGACAATAAATAACTCAAAAAACGGAGAAAAAATTAAAAAGGCAAAAATAATTATATTTTTGTTTACATTTTTCTTTTTGGTTTACTCTTGTGTGTGTGTGTGTGTGTGTGTGTGTGTGTGTTTCATGTATTCATAATTTTATATAGTTTTGTTCATAAATTTCTGAAATAACGAAAATATTCTGACCCTTTTTTAACATGTTTCAATTTTATATTTTGTCAAAAAGCTTAAAACTAATGCAAAATAAATGACGCTCATTCATTCACATCCACATATAGACATACACATACACACACAAAACAACACATACATATGCACAAACACCCTTAAAATGCACACACCGACATACACACCCCTAAAAAACACAAAACCCCTCCACCAACATAAACCTTCATAAATTGCCATAAACCTCCTGCACACCTCGCCCACTGCCCTCCACACAAAAATATTAACCTAGCCAATGCTTCCCTCACACACAGCCATTACTTACACCAAAATTGCACTAACTTCATAGGAAACTCGTAAAAATGCTTCATTATATGAGCCATCCATAACAGTGAACTGTGCAGGGGGCGTATATGTTCTCTACCATGGTGGAAAATTCCCTGGATAGGAGGTTTATATTCCACTTACAGTATTTATTGGATAAAGGAAAAGTGTACGGCTATGTGGGGTAACATCTAAGAAGGGATTTACAGCTACTTGTTTCATCGGTGTAAGGAACATATCTGGGGAGATATTTTAGAAAAGGTTTATGATCGTCTCTGTCCATCAGTATGTAAGGGTATTATCTGATTTATATCTGGTGGAATTATAATTACTTTTTTGGGTGTTAAAACAATGACGGTTTTCTTGCCATAGGGGAAAATCCCCAGAGAGGGTTTACGACAGATACATTCTACCAGTGAAAAGAAAAATTTGGTGATTTCTGGGGGAATTCTGGTTGATTTTATCAGTTTTCCATGCCACATCGAGATGGGGTGATCACTCACGGAGTACGATGACTTTAAATGCTGAGTATGATGACTAAATCCCTGAATATGATAACTTTACCCTAGAGTACGATAATTTAATGCCTTGGGTACGATGACTTAACCACTTGAGTGTAATGATTTAGCCCCTCGCTTACAAAGGATTAAACAGTTGAGTACAGTACTATGATTCATGGGGCTGTGTCATCGTATTGAAGGGGTTAAGTCCTTACACGTAGCAGGGTTAAATCATCTTAATCAGGGGATTAGGTCAAACTCAAGGGGTTAATCATTGTATTTAAGGGGTTAAGTTAGTGAACTTGGGGGTTAAAGCACTATGCTTAAGCAGGTTAAATAATCGTACTTAGGAAGGATTTGTCACCTTATTTGGGTGATGAGTGATCGTATTCAATGGTTGAAGTCATCGTACTGAAGGGATTAAATTTTTGTACTCAAGGGTTTAAGTCATAGTATTCAAGGGATTAAGTCTTCGTACTGAAGGGTTTAAGTAATCGTACTCGTGGAATTAACTAATAAGGTCTTATAGTCAAGTCCTTCCACCAGTGTAGGGAAATTCTGTGGTGTAGTTTGGAGGAACTTCCGATTGACGTTTACACAAAATTATATATCACAGTAAATGTTTCAGTGCCATGGGGAAAAGTCCCTACCCTTTTTTTCTCTCGACTGAATATATCAGTGGCAGGGGAATTTAGGGTAAAGTTGTGTGATATCTCTTGGGTATTATTGCTGTTATAGAATGAATATGTCCTCTGCCATTAGGGTAAATTTCTGAGAAAAAAAAATATATGACTAAACAAATTCACGAAAGGAAATTATTGGGATATTTTTAAGGTGATTTAGGGGCAATATTTGAAAAACGAGGAAAATCTCAAGTGGAAATTTCTTCAAGAGATTAAGTCATCTTACTGTAATGATAAAGTCACTGAACTGAAGGGATTAAGTCGTCATGCTGAAGGGACTAAGTTATCGTACTGAAGGGATTAAGTTGTCGTACTGAAGGGACTAAGTTATCATACTCAAGCGATTAAGCCATTGTACTCAAAGGATTAACCAACGTACTCATGGAATGACACCAGGGGAGTCGTATATTGATCCTTCTCTTCTTGTAATCTCAGAAACTTATTTCCACACTTTGTCATACTCTTAAATATTGGCAGCACGTTTCACACACCTTCCTACCTGCATCACTCATAACGTAACCTAACCTAACCTACCCACCTCACTCATAACCTAACCTAACCTACCCACCTCACTCATAACCTAACCTAACCTACCCACCTCACTCATAACCTAACCTAACCTACCCACCTCACTCATAACTCATAACCTAACCTAACCCTACCACCACCCCCCCCATACTACCTAGCCCTAACCAACCTACCCACCTCACTCCAACCCAAACCTAACCTAACCTACCCACCTACCTAACCCCTACCCACCTCACTCACCTAACCTAACCTACCTCCTAACCCACCTCACCCACCTCACTCACCTAACCTAACCTACCCACCTCCCCTCCTCCTACCTAACCTACCCATAACCCAACCTAACCCCCTTCCCCTAACCCCTGAACCTAACCCACCCACCTCCTCATAACCTAACCTAACCTACCTACCCACCTCACTCCTTAACCTAACCTAACCTACCCCACCTCACTCATAACCCAACCCTAACCTACCCACCCCTAACACCCACCCCACCTAACCTAACCTAACCTAACACACCTCACTCATACCCTAACCTAACCCTAACCTACCCACCTACCCAACCTAACCTACCCACCACCATCCCAATAACCCAACCTAACCTCACTAACCTAACCTAACCTAAACCTACCCACCCTCACTCATAACCTAACCTAACCTACCCCACCACCTCACTCATAACCTAACCCTAACCCTCACTCATAACCTAACCTAATCTACCCACCCACTCATAGCCTAACAACCTAACCTACCTACCCACCTAACCTAACCTAACCTAACCTACCCCACCCACTCATAACCCAACCCTAACCTACCCACCCCCCTAACCTAGCCTAACTACCCACCTACCCAACCTAACCCTAACCTAATCTAACCTAACCTAACCTACCCATCCCACTCATAACCTAATCTACCCACCTCACTCATAACCTAACCTAACCTAACCTAACCTAATCTAACTAACCTAACTAAACCTAATCTACCCACCCACTCCAACCCAACCCAACCTAACCTAACCTAACCTAACCTAACCCATAACCTAACCTAACCTAATCTAACCTTAACCTACCCACCCAATAATACCTCACTCATAACCTAACCCACCCACCTTATTAACCTAACCTACACCTTCACCTAACCAACCTACCCAGCCCATCCCACCCGTCCTCTAACCTAACCCAATCTAACCCAACTTAACCTCCCATCCCAAACCCAGTCTGACCTAACCTAACCACAATGATCTTACCAGTCAAAAATATTGACAGTTTACTCGACCTCCAACAATATTGACACTAATTCCTGCAGTGTTCTTGTGTGACTTTAATACATAATTAAATGTGATGTTTTTGGTCTGTCTCGAAATAACAGGTTTATGGAGGTTCTAAAAGAAGGTAAATTGTAGGGAAATTTTTTTTTTAATCTGGAAAAATTGGTGTGTGTGTGTGTGTGTGTGTGTGTGTGTGTGTGTGTGTGTGTGTGTGTGTGCCAGCAAAATATACTGTGATAAATGAATAAAACTTAGGTGGACGTTTGACATTCACGTACGGAAAAAAACGGACAACTCCAAACAAAACACATACACACACACACACACACTCCCTTTACACACACCTACACACACACACACACACACACACACTTCTCTACATCAGGGGTGGATCCTGGAATATATCAAGGGAGGTCAAGAAGGATTGTTTGGAGGAATTTGTGCGAAACACATGAAGCCCTCTGTATTGTGTGTATTTTTTTTTTTTTTGTTGAGGGCCACTATAAGCCCCCATCGATTTTTCAAATGTGACCAATATCATGGACGCTTTGACCATGTA